AAAAATCAGGTATTTTTCATTAAATATTTCACTGATGTTATTTTCTTCTCTCATTCAGTTAGCGTTTGGTTAGAAAGCTTTATAAATTGTCTGTAGACAAAAGTTTCCTTCTTCCAAATGCCCTGTGGACTCAATGCGTGAAAGATCTCTCCAAAAGATGCTGTCCTTTTGTAATTTTTGTCAATGCCTGTCTTTTTACTAACGATCCAACCCGATGTCCTGGCATCTATTTAGACAGACTCTTTAGGGAGGACAGTCTCTTTTTCCTTCTTCCCTTTAAACCATTACTATGTCCTGTAAGATTATAATATTCCGAGCTAGTCTTCATTATGTGTCTTAGAAATTTCAACTTTCTATCTCATTCTAATCTTAGTCCTTTTCGCTATCATTTTTGTTGTGGTAGGATCCACCTAATTTGCATAGTGGAGTACCGAACATATAAATATGGTTGGTACCGGGAAGAGAGGGAGGAATCAAGAGATTCAACCAGAGACTCTGCCAGACTGCGACTCAGTCAACACATTCTCCAGGAACGGTCTTACCAGGAATATACAAAAGACTATATGTAAATATTGTGTACACTTTCTTGTTTCAATACATTTTGTTCTAAGTACATTTTGTGTTGCATTATTATTCCATGCATTAGTCAAGTTTCAACAATTTTTTTTTAAACTTCATCGTTTCTTACATGCTCTGTCCATTTTATTCTAAGCATCCTTAGAACCACATATCTGTTTTTTTTTTCAACTCTCAGAAGCACGTCCCTGCCGCCTCGTCCTATCTTCGTCTATGAAGGCTGATATATAACAGTTCAACGCTCTTTTTCGTTGTTTCTAAGGAAAGTTTCCTATCTCTTAATGATTTGTTTATCTTTGGGGAAGCATCTTTTGTTACTGTAATGCTTCTTCGGATTTCGGTGTCACTTTTCTGTCGTCTTTTGAAACATATACTAGATGTTTAAAATTCTGTACATGTTTGATTTTGAAATCTCCAATTTGTAGTTCACATCTTTCGTCCTTTTCTCAACGAGTAGACAAGGAACAAAATTTCCAGCTCGTCTTCCAATAAAATTCGAGTAAAATTTATTTAAAGCTAAATGTCATGCTTGTCGCTTCATTTTAGCTTTCAAAACTTCTTATTTATTCACTATGCGAAAAAGATCTTGAAATCTATTTTTAACATCACGTTTTTCTTTTTATATTTTTTAATAATACAGGATTTTTCGGTGGAGAATAATGCGTCAGTACCAATTTTATCATGAATACATTGACTTATGTAATAAAATGTATTTATAGCATTGCAATAATATATATATATATATATATTTGAAAACAATGCTTCATAGAAATTCTTTAGTATTGGGTGAATAGCAAATCTGAATTAACTGCTTGCATCCTTTTAGAGAAGCGAAAAATAACTGGCTAAATCCTAGGAAGGTTCAAACAGTTTTATTGCAGTTCGATACCGTCTTTGTCTTTTGTTGTTTATTCTTAATGTTAAGAAATATCTCCTACAAATGGCTGACACCTAAAAATTAATAATACCTAAAATATTAATAATAGTTAATTATAAGTAACGTCTTCATATTGCAATTATGATAGACAACATTACAGATTTAGAATGCATAGAGATGTAGTGGCTGCAGGAAGGTTCAAAACATGCAAATCGTCGATTTTTTCATGGAAGCCATGAAAATAACTCCTGGGGACGAAATAAAACGTGACACAAAGTAACAAGAACGGCCTAACTTCTGAAGAAATTAATCACCTTGAGATGGCATGTATTTCAAAATATCACCACTTCGAAAGCGCACATTTCCACATATTTGAAAGCACATCAACTGAGCTGGAACTAAGCAAATAAAAAGGTATTATTCAGCAGTCATCTAGAGAAAGCGCATAAAATATCAGGCGAGTGGGTGATATATTTGGCAGTATCTCTTAGCAAATAGTTATAGATAATGTTCTCAAAGGATATTTCAGTAGTACTTGTGTTGGACTGGAAGCAATGCATGACGTTTCGTGACTTAGTCGTGCGTCAATACCCTATGGCCTTTACCGTGAAATACATATAAAATGTGTATTAAAGCAGGAAGACTGCTCATTTTTATCAGTGTTTTGAGATCCTTTTTAATACGGACAGAGTGAACGCGCTACAAACAGGTTGATCTAAGTGGTTAGATTGACGCGCAGCTAGAATAAAGTTTCTTAGTCGTCTCCTATCATCACTGGTTGGATTTCTTTTTTCCCTCTTCTCAAAGTTTTTCTTTTAATAGACACTAAATTGTGTCATTTTGCGCCCCCCCCCTAGCTTGTCTGGCTTTTCAGTTAATCTGATTAATATTTATCAGCATTTCTGAGCTTAAACATTTTGAAAAGCCAATAACATTTTTGCTCTTGCGCATAAATACTTGTTAGAAAAATAAAATCCTTACATTCACCTTGATAAAGTCCATCGGATAAATATGTATATTAGGCATGTCTGATTAAATAAATTACAGATATTATGGCTGCTTATTTTTGATAAAATCCGTACATACTCACTGATAACTTTCCATGTATTGCAATTAAATGATGTGAGATATATACTATAACTATAAAAATTGTATTCATTTTACATTTCCCAAGCACTTTCGATCTTCTTCTAATATCATCTTCAGGGGTGTACATAGTAACACAAAACTGTGTTGTTCACGTGTGCGAGTGGTAATACAAAACTAGTTACTGTAATTTTTCTTTTTCGCTTTCAAATGCAACAGTTGACAGTCATGCTTAGCCTTCATTAGAACGTGAAAAATTATTCACTATGGAATTATTTTCTTTTATGTTGTAATTTCATGATCATGCACGCATTGAATCATGAAAAACTGTTCTTTTTATATACATTTCAGAACATTACTACAGTATTCGTAGTTGATTCTATTAAGTGACGGCTTTAAATTTTTAATGTAGATTGCTTCAAGGATCTGTAGTTTGAATTTGTTGTGTTCTTAGTGTAGGATAGTTGTGTTGTCGATTAGTAATTTTTTGTATTGGGAATATGGGCAGGAATGTTTGAGCAAATGTCTCACAATGGACGAATTTTTAGACATGTGTAGTGTAAGACGTTTTGTTAATGTAGTTGTCGCTATCCTAATACGCCTTAGGATTTCAGTGTTGCACTTTTTGACCTTTGTTAAAACACTTCACGGATATTTAAATTTTTGTACTTGTTTGATTTTGGTATTTCTAATTTTTAATTTATACGTTGCATTTTGTCTTGCAATTGATATTTAACTTCTCTCTTTCTTTAAAGAAGTCCAAAAATAAAATATGAAATAAAAAAGAACAACGAAAACAGAACATAACTAAATAGACCATATTTTAGTACCACTGGCATCAAAATATTTTAATGTTTTTGAAGTGTGTGTGTGTGTGTGTGTGTGTGTGAGAGAGAGAGAGAGAGAAAGAGAGAGAGAGACAGGGAGAAAGTAAGTCGGTGAAATGAGTTCATACCATACTGCTATCACTGTCATCAGAGTTTATGAATTCGCTGTTGTTTCATGCTAAAAGTTGAGTGAAATATTTAAGAAGACTAACGCCACATATATGGTAAGCGAATTCTGGACAATCTCCTCACAGATGAAGCAGAGACTTGAAGCAACAGAAATGTGGTTCTAAAGAAGGATGCTGAGAATACTGTGAACGGAACACGTGAGTAATGACGAGGATTTAGATAAAATGGAAACAAAAAGGAAAGCTATAACATCTTAAAGAGACAGTTGAAATTTATAGGGTACATAATGAGGAAAGAAGGCTTAGAAAATTTGCTACTCACAGGACAGACTGAAGAACAGAAGGACGGAAAAGGCAAAGCATAACATAC